AATAAAGCTCATTAAATGGATCAGGGGATCATGATGACATCACAACCGACAAAACATGTTGGGTGAAGCCTCATACACTAGGTCCCTTCTGGTGACGCATTTCCGGTCACCACAAAGGGAGTGACCATTTTGTTTAGAATACATGGACTTTATGTATTACCGATGCACAAAAGTTTGAATGGCTTTTACCTAAAATAAAGCAAACAGTATTACACTATCTTGAGTCCCCTCTTTTATGTGGTGGAGCTGCCTGGGAAAAGTGGACCAGAGGAGGAGGAGAGGCAAGCAAAGTAGACAATATAAAAAGTGCTTTTTTGACCTTCTTATAGCTATAAGGGGCCGCATTGAATCTTTTCAGTGGCGCCCACATAGGGTGGAAGGTGGAAGTGGAGGTGAACACAGGCACAGGTGTGTTTGCAGCACTTTGTAAGAGCACTACAAGCTCTTTTCATAGTGGATGAACTAATGGTTGATTTTTATATGCAGAAAAGGACTGAGGAGGATTGACATGGGGAATATTTAATTAAATTCGATTTTTTGGTTGTCCCTGTCATCGGTCATCGGTATGCCCTGTCATATGTGGGAAGCACTATACGCCCACTAAGAGTCAGAATTGGGGAGAACTAATGTGAAGGTTTACCTAGATGCTTGTCAACTATCTAATGTGTCCAAATGTTTCCTAGAAGTACATAAAGGTTATATGAGTCCCTTTATGTTTTTTTGGGATAGAAGAGGTCAGTTTATCAGGTAGAGGAATTGAATGTTACACAAAAAAATGGTCCAAAATGTTTTGGGGCATTGATTGGGCTCGAAGGCACTGGCTGGCCTCAACCATCATTGGGATATGGATTTCTTTCTTAAATACAGTAGGCTTCTCAGTTGCTTTGTTTTGTTTGTACGATACTTTATACATTAATTTGTTACATTTTATTCAACATTTTTAAGCTTATTTTATTGCCATGTACTGTCTTGGAAATTCGCTTTAACGAATTTCTCCTTACCGTGAGTACTCGCAGTTGGATGCGCAGAAATCCCCCATAAAGCTGTGCGAATCTCGCTTACCACGACTTCAGCTAAACTACACGATTCCTGCCCATCCAAATGGGTTAGCTTCTGTTGAAATGTGGGTGATTGGAGCTCCCTATACCTGGAAATGATCACACGACACTTTCAGGTTGATGGTTGAATTCACATAAGGGCAATTTTCATTCTCCCCTTTGGTTTTATTACAAATACACACACGCCCCCCCACATGAATAAGGTCAAACCCCTCCCACAGAACAATGCAATGGGGAGTGCCTATACACAGGATGTACATTCCGATTGGAGCATAGCCTTTCCTATTATCTGTCACTGGTCCTCCCCCATGAGCCTTCTGAGGTCAGCAGACTTCCTCCCCTTCCCCCATGAGCCCTCTGTGGAGAGCATATCTCTTGTTCCAGCTCCTAGCAGTATGTTCATTCTCTGTACAAGCATTCCCTAGAAATATCAGTCTGTACCTGGATGGGCCCGATACGATCTTTATTAAAACACATCCATCCGGATACAGTTCAGATTGGTGATGGGTTGTAAGATATGCATAAGCCTAAACGCGGAGTTCGTACCGCTTGGCGCCTTGCGGCACGGAGTCCATGTGGTACTATGCTGCTGATATGTGGATACAGGCCCGCGGTCTACTGCCAGCGGCATTCGCATCGAATGCCGTGGTGGTATACACGCCGGTCTATAAGCGCAGATCTGCCATCTCATCCATTACCGAGCTGAGTACTGTAATACATACATTGTACATGCGCATGGCCCAATTGCAGCCTTCAGAGCTTTAATTAAGCCACACGAGAGACATATGAATAACACGAATATATGACACATTTAAAGTTCGACCAACAATACAAAATTTCCATGACAGTACAAAGTAACAGCATTCATGTTGTAAGAAAGTAGAAGCATTATATTTGATCATAAATGTCTATTAATTCTTACATACAGATGAATTAGGTTCTACTTGTGTTTTTACTGTTAGCCTGTGGAAGAGAAAACTTGAAAGTTTGGAACTTGGACTGTGTGCAGGATTGTTCATGTGATACTATGATTCAAGCAGGGGCAGACTTACAACTCATGGGGCCCCCTGTTTCTCAGCCTACACTCAAGCCACACCCACACAACACCCCACCTATATTGCAGCTCAGCTACATAGAAAGGGCATTAAAAAATAATTAAAAAAATAATAAAACAACGTCCTGGGGTCCCTTCTCTATTCATACCAAGCCCTTCGGGTCTGGTATGGGTTTTGAGGGGAACCCCCATGCAAAAAATTTTAAAAAAAATGGCATGGGATCCCTCCCAAGATCCATACCAGACCCTTATCTGAGCATGCAGCCAGGCAGGTCAGGAGAGGGGAGGGACAAGCGAGTGCCCCCCCCCCCCGAACCAACACCCAGGGGCACATGTCCTCAACATGGGGGGTGCTTTTGGGGGGTTCCCCCCCAAAGCACCTTGTCCCCATGTTGATGGGGACAAGGACCTCGTCCCCACAACCCTGGCCTGTGGTTGTGGGGGTCTGTGAGCAGGGGGCTTATTGGAATCTGGAAGCCCCCTTTAGCAAGGGGCCCCCAGATCCTGCCCCCCCCTTATGTGAATTAGTATGGGGTACATGATACCTCTACCCTTTCACACAAAAAAAGTGTAGTGTGAAAAAAGACAGGAGACAGCCTTTGACAAGACCTTTATTAAAAGAAGAAAAATAAAAGAATGTCCCCCGAAGTAGATCCAACATCAATTACGATGCTCCCCGCTGCTACCCGAGAAAAAAAAAATGCTCTGCTCCAGACACTGGCTCCCGGCCGTCTGACTGCTCCGCTGGCTTGACAGCTTTTAAATATGTAAGAGGCGGGGCCGCCCGGGGACACCACGTGTGAGACCCTGCCTCTTGTGGCGTCATGTGGCGGGGCATGCTGGTTCAGTTATGTCACAATGAGGCTTGGCCGCACGCATGATGTCACTGGGTGGCCCTGCTGCTTACATATTTAAGAACTGTGAAGTCAGCGGAGCAGTCAGACGGCTGGGAGCCAGCATGGGAGCTGAGCCTTTTTTTTTTTTTCGGGTAGCATCGTGATTGATGTTGGATCTACTTCGGGGACACTTTTTTTTTTGTGAATGGGTAGCAGTACCATGTACCCCATACTCATTCACATGGGGGGGGGTCTGGGGGCCCCCTTGCTAAAGGAGGCTTCCAGATTCTGATAAGCCCCCCACCCGCAGACCCCCACAACCACCAGCCAGGGTTGTGGGAAAGAGGCCCTTGTCCCCATCAACATGGAGACAAGGTGCTTTGTAGGGGGAGCCCCACCAACCCAAATCACCCCCCCCATGTTGAGGACATGTGGCCTGGTATGGTTCAGGAGGAGGGGGGCGCTCTCGTCCCCCCTGACTTTCCTGACCTGCCGGGCTGCTTGCTCGGATAAGGGTCTGGTATGGATTTTGGGGGGGATCCCTGCGCCATTTGTTTTTAACTTTTGGCATGGGGGTTCCACTCAAAATCCATACCAGACCTGAAGGGCTTGGTATGGATGGAGGGAGGGGGGGGGCAGTTTTTGAAATTATTTTTTAAATTCTTTCTTTTCCATTCAGCTGTCTGGGGAACCCCGCTGACAGCCGAGACATTAATGCATGGTTTTCACTACTAAAATACCGCATGACTTGATAAAATAACTCCTGCGGTATTTTAGTAGCGTTTTTTGGTGAATTCAAACATTTTTTTTTAATTGCTATGCGGTAAGCTACCGCTTAGTGAATTGTGCCCAGTGAGCCTCTCACCGGGCCCCCTACTGACCCCGGGCCCTCAGGCAATGCCCGAATGGTCAGTCCGCCCCTGGATTCAAGGCTTTCAGGGCATCTCCTTGCACAGTTGTTTCCCTAGATAGGAGGATATGTGAAGTTAAGTAGGTAAAAAAATTATATTAATTAACTAATAAAAAGAACCTGAACTCGAGAAACTATGCCAAAAAAGGAAAGCAGAAGTCAAAGGGTTAGTTACCAGCATTGTCTACAGGCTCCATGCAGCTATTCATTTCCACAGTGATTTACAATTACTAATTGTGCACTGTCTCTCACTATCTTGGCAGCGGCAGGGCTTCGCTTCATCATGTCAGAACTGCCCCCCTGATGACTGATGGAGAAAAATTCAAAAACATAAGGAGAGATGGGGGAAACAATGATCCGCAGAGTGGATGAAGCAAATGCAGGAAGATCCTTGAAGTGTAGGTCCTCAGGTGCAGCTTCACCTCTGTCAACTTTTGAGACAAGTAATCAGAGGTAGCAGTGCCTTAGATATAGTTATGAGTCTTACAATGAGTGAGTGTCTAGCAAAATTGAAAATAGAGGCTGCACTCTACGAAAGTCCCACTGCTAGGTATATTGTGTATAACTGGCTGTTGACACAGTCCCCACCCTTACCCCCCCTGTAGTAGAAGTACAGTCCCAGTAGGCTGTGTCAACGGCCAACTATATACAATAAACTTACCAGTAGGATTTCCATGGAGTGCTGCTTTGTTTTCTGTATGTATTGAGCTAGACAAGTTCTTGTACTGGTAGCAGTGGACTTCTCAAGAGGCTGTTCTAGGAGCTTGGAGCGATGCAATCTTTCTTTTGGTATTATTCAGGAGTGTCTAGGCACAGTCACATACTAGGACATTGCCCTGGTACTTTTCAGGACAATTCAAGAATTTAATACAAAAGGTATATCTTTCAGGGCAATTATTAGGCACAATAAACATTTACAGATATTTTCTACATGATGGCAGAACTACACTTTGTAAAACAGTTTAAATTTATATTATATCATTTGGCTCTTGCACGATTTAAAGGATATATTGCTCTCATAGCTAATGTATACCATACACATAAAATAAAAATTCTTATGTGTCTTCTATAACTGTAGTTATGACAGTGAACAAGCACAATATAAACAACTGTCCTAATAAAGCTGCAATTTGTTCCCCCAGGTCAGGAGTATCCTGCTGTTGTCGAATATGCACCTTTTCAGAAGATTTCCAAAAAGAAATTGAAAAAAAAAAAGACACAAAGGCTGGAAGTATTTTAGAAGGCAAGTCGTATTATAAAAGTGGTTCACTTTTTTGTACATATGAAGAGCTACTTTTTATATGTTTCCAGTAGCAAGCACCATACTTTTGTAACACACACTGTGCACACTGGCTCTTCTGCTTGTTTTATATTTACATTATGTGTTCTGTAAGTATGCTATACATTTTTGCTGAAAAAATGCATTCAGAGCTAACATAGATAAGGCGATCACTACATTCACAATGTCAACCAAAAAGCTGTTGGTCAGCACAGGATAATCCCACCCACAACCAACCTCTGGGAGGAGCTATCTGGTTTAAACAGTAATGCAACATAGTACTGTTGCTTCTCATTTAGTGGTTTAGTAGGTATACTACAGACAGTTCTTTTTCCATTTGTGCCTATAGAGCTCCCACCTAATTGGCCCCTGCTTATATCTGCTGTACATTTTTATTTATCTCCTACAGTGAGACATGATTTTGGAGTGTAAGTTTAAAGTCTCTTCTGGTTAATATACAGTTGCTGTCATTGATCCTCGAGTGCAGTGCAGTTATTCCCCAGCAGCTCAACCTGCCCTAACGCAGATTTCATAATACTTGCCCTGTTGCTCTCAGTGACCAGTGGCAAACTCTACCAGCTTTCTCTTTATCCACTATGTATTCTTTAGTGGATACTGTATTATTATTATTATTATTATACAGTATTTATAAAGTGCCAATGGTTCGCTCAGCGCTGTACATTACAAAGGGGGACAGAACATGTGACAGAACAATACCAATACAATGCAAAACATGAGGGGATCGAGGGCCCTGCTCTTTGGAGCTTACAATCTAGGAGGGAGGGGATAGTGGTACAGGAGGAAATGGCTGTGGGGGATGGAGTGGTAGGAAGAGTGGAGGAGGTCAGTAATTAGCAGGGGGTGGGGGTAGGCTTCCCTGAAGAGATGGGTTTTCAGGGTGCGCCTAAAGGAGAGGAGAGTAGGTGATAATCTGATGGGTTGGGGCAGAGAGTTCCAGAGGATGGGTGACACCCTGGAGAAGTCCTGGAGGCGGGCATGGGAGGAGGAGACCAGGGAACTAGAGAGAAGGAGGTCTTGTGAGGAGCAGAGTGTGCGTGCTGGGCGGTACTTGGATATTAGGTCAGTGATGTAGTACGGGGCAGTATGGTGGATAGCTTTGTACGTCAGTGTTAGGATTTTGAATTTGATCCGTTGCGCAATCGGAAGCCAGTGGAGGAATTGGCAGAGGGGGGTGGCGGAGATGGAGCGGTTGGAAAGGTGAATGAGTCTGGCAGCCGTATTCAGGATCGACTGAAGCGGGGATAGCCAGCGGCGAGGCACGCTAGTGAGGAGGGAGTTGCAGTAGTCGAGTCGTGATATGATAAGGGAGTGGATGAGCTGTTTAGTGGTTTCTGGGGTTAGGAACGTGTGTATTTTGGCAATGTTGCGGAGGTGGAGTCTGCACGAGTTTGTTAAAGATTGAACTTGAGGCTGGAAGGATAGGTTGGAGTCCAGAATGACACCAAGTACTCTGGCCTGCAGGGCGGGTTTGATGGTAGCGTTGTTGGATGTGATAGAGAAGTCAATGGGGGGTGGTGTCCGGGCTGGGGGGAAGACAAGAAACTAGGTTTTGGAGAGGTTCAGTTTAAGGAAGTGGAGCGACATCCAGTCTGATATGTCGCTCAGTAGGTGTGTGATTCGGGCGGAGACCGAGGCGGTGAGGTGGGGGGTTGAGAGATAGATTTGTGTGTCGTTGGCATAGAGGTGGTAGTTGAAGCCGTGTGAGTGTATGAGTTGGCCAAGGGAGGAGGTGTAGATGGAGAAGAGAAGGGGCCCGAGGACAGAGCCTTGAGGGACCCCAACAGAGAGGGGGAGTGAGGGGGAGGTGGTAGCATTATAGGTAACGCTGAAAGAGCGTTGTGACAGGTAGGATGAGAGCCAGGAGAGAACAGAATCTCTGAGGCCGAGGGAGTGTAGTTTTGTGAGGAGGAGGGGGTGGCCGACTGTGTCGAAGGCCGCAGAGAGGTCAAGGAGTAGGAGCACTGAATCATGGCCATTAGCTTTGGCGGTTAGCAGGTCGTTGGAGAGTTTGAGTAAGGCAGTTTCGGAGGAGTGTAGGGGATGGAAGCCGGACTGTAGGGATCGAGGAGGTTGTTGTCGTTGAGGTGAGAGCTTAGGCGGGTGTAGACTAGGCGCTCGAGGAGTTTAGATGTAAATGGGAGCAGGGAGATGGGTCTGAGGTTGTTCGGGTCATTGGGGTCCAGGGAGGGCTTTTTAAGTATGGGAGTGATGTGTGCATGTTTCAGAGGGGAGGGGAAAGTGCCGGAGGAGAGGGAGAGGTTAAAGATGTGGGTGAGGGAGCGTAGGATGGAGGGGGAGGGAGGTCGTAGGAGTTGTGAGGGGATAGGGTCGAGGGGGCAGGTCTTGAGGCGGGCATCAGAGAGGATCTTGGAGACTTCCTCGATGGTAGTAAGGTCAAAGGTGCGGAGTGTTGGGGGGGCTTCAGTATGAGGAATGTAGGGTGGGGTGAAAGTGGGGGTCAGAGCAGTGGTGGGGCCCTGGGAGAGGGGTGATGAGGGGGTAGTTGAGTGAGGGGGGGAACGGGGTTGGAGGGAGTTTGAGCAGCGACGAAGTCCCTGCGGGTTATGTCAAGGGAGAGGGGGGATGAGGGGGTAGCTGTGTGAGAGGGGACGGGTTGAGAGGGTGTGTGAGTTGCGGCGATGTCCTTGCGAATTGTGTCAATCTTGTTTTTGAAGTGATTGGCAATCTCAAGGGCAGTGAGTGAGGTGCTGGGTGGAGGTGGGGGTGGCGAGAGTAGAGAGTTGAAGGTGGAGAAGAGTCGGCGAGGATTGGAGGAGAGGGCCTTGATGAGGGTCAGGAAGTAGGCTTGTTTGGCTGCGTGGAGGGAGGAGGTGTAGGTGTGGAAGGCAGATTTGTAGCGGGTGAAGGCTTGTTGGGATTTGGTTGCGGCAGGACGTGGAGGCGGGAGGGTGTTGTGCGGGTGAGGGAGGTGGTGGTGGAGGGCCAGGATTCGGGGAGATGTCCCCCGCGGTTAGGAGGAGGAGAAGGGTGAGAAAGGTGGCATGGGACTGTAGAAGCTAAAGCCATGTTACAGACCTCCTCTTTCTCTCTGGTATTGTAGTACATCTCAAAGCTAACCCATAGATAGTTCTGTTTCTGTACCACAGGTCTTAGTTCTATTTGGGTATTATGTGAAAGAGACTTTTTGTGTTTTGGTTCAGTGGTCTGCTTGTGACCACCTCTGACCCTGTGAATCATTACTGACCCCTCTCCACTGCTTAATCTGAATGACACATATAGATGAAATGTTTGTGCATCAAGAACAATATTAAGCTGCAAGCACACTTAGTGTTTGTAATAAGTATTGTGTGTTTTTAGTGCAGCACTGTTTACACTTAAAATCTGAATGACACAATGGACTTTTCTGGTCAAATCAGGATCCCTCTGTGGATCTGTTCTTAGATGTGAACTCTCTCTGAGAGTAGAATCGTTCTGACAGATTTTGTCTTTGGATATTATGCTCACATCTACATTAACATGTATGTGAGCCCCCAGAGTATAGGGGAGGCTTAGACAATCTTAAATCTCTGATGTTTGGTCGTAGGAGATTGTATCCCAGGGCTACAATTAAGTTTTTTTTCCCTGCCTCCTTGTTTTATTCCTCACCTTCAACCTTTCTTCCTTCATATGTGTCACCCCAGAAGTTGACAGATTTGCATCAAGCCCTCATGGGTCTTCTGAATTAAGATGTCAGCACTTATGGCAGAACATTTTCAGGGTTTTTTGTTCTTTGTTCCCATACACAAAGGGAGCATGTGGCCCATCTTGGATCTCAAGTTCTGAATGTCTTCATTTGAATCCACAAATGAACATTTCTTTCATATTCGTCATTGCCTGCCTTTAACAAGGAGATTTTCTGACTCCCGTAGACATAAAGGACACATAACTGCACGTTTCCATCTTTTCAGTACACCTGTGGTTTCTCATGTTTTGCTGCGGACCCCTACACTACAATTCATGGTCCTGACTATGGCCTCTCATCTGTAACTTGGGTGTTCATCACAGTACTAGCTCTACTTTTAGCCCTGATGTGCTCTCATCGAACCCCAATTGTGTGATACAACAAACAACCCTCTGTTGAGGGAACTGTCATGAAGGAAGTGGTCTCAACTGTTTAGAAGTTGCAGTGGTTTGAGTGGATACTGAACTTCCAGAAATTGTTGCTGGAACTGACTCATCATTTGGAGTATCTGGATTTGGTTCTGATCCTTTCCTGATCAGAACTTCACATTCTCACTTTTTTTCTACCTAGACCTAGGCTATGGGCAGGCAGACTTCCTTAGCCAGCAGCACCGCTGGAGCAGTGGTCCTTACACCCAGAGATGTTCCAGGACTTGTGTTGCAGATGAGAAAAGTTGAATGTGGACTTTATGGCCTCCAAGGTTAACAACAAGCTGGACAGGTTTGTCTCTATGTACGGGGTTCTCTAGTGAAAATACTGTATGCTCTGGTGACTGTGGAATCAATATACCCTGATCTATTCTTTTCCTCCCCGAAACTTCTTCCTCATCTGCTTTTCATGATAAAGATAGAGTGCATTTCAGTAATCCTCATTGTTCAAAATTAGCCAAGGCAGATGTGGTATACTGACCTTGTAAGTCTCCTAGCAGATGCTCCATGGGCTCTGTCAGATCATCAGGATCTTTTGTCCTGTGGACCACTTTGCCATCCTACTTCACAGTTGCCAGCTTAACAGCATGGGTGTTGAAGCCCAAGGACATCTCTGAATTTAGGGCTCTGAGGAAGAGGCAAGTCCTCGAAACGCGTCAGTCTATTGGATGCCTACACTCCCTATTGCGGACTGTTACTCAGCGCGGTGTTGACCCAGCTGTTCTTTTATGATGTGCCTTGACTTTATTGTCGTTTGTGAGTACAACACCTACTTTATTTCTTATTAAACATTTTTTATGGTAATGCACTAGGCCTGTGCGCCCTCTGCTGCTGTTCTTTCTTCATTCAGTATATTTGGATTCCCCCGGTCTATTTGAGGGCAGCAAGGTGTGCATGTTCCAGGACATTCTTAGTGTGGTTGTAGCCTGCATCGAGTCCATCTCCAAGCACAGGAGCATTTGTGTTTGCTGGTTCTTTGCTCTGTAGGCTCTGTCAGATCATCAGGATCTTTTGTCCTGAGGACCACTTTGCCATCCTACTTCACAGTTGCCAGCTTAACAGCATGGGTGTTGAAGCCCAAGGCCATCTCTGAATTTGTGTTTCCTATGATGCTATCAGCAACGAAAGCTACCGCCTGGAAGGCATACTTCACTTTGTGAAATCTCGGCGCTTCTACCCTAGGAGTTTCTATGTGGGATCAATTCTCCTCTTCTTGCAGCTAGGTCTGGACCAGTGTTTGGTTCTCAGCATTTTCAAAGGCCAGGCTTTTGCCTGGTTTATCTTATTTCAGAAAAGGTTGATCTTTTCACTCCTTGATTAAGATTCCTTTACAGGGGCTCTCCCATGTAGCCTTAAAGATCAGCATGTGAATTCACATTTTTCGATCTATTCTCACCCACAAGTGGTGTTTTTTTAGCCATCACCTCTACAAGAGGAGTGTCTTATCCTGCAAGGGATCCTTTCTGGTTTTGCATAGGGACAAGGTGGTGTTGAGGCAATTTATTTCTTTTCTTCACTCTTCCACTGTTTCTTCAGAAAGACTGATTTTTTTTTTGTGTTTTAGACAGACCCTGTAAGGGTATCCCTTCTTCTCTTTCCACCCTCCTAAGGGGACTTGGGAGTGGGTTCCAACCTTTTCTGTCAAGGGCCACTCTACTAATGTCTCTATAAGTGCTTCTTCCTGTTTTCAGCACTGTGCAGCTTTTCCCAGTTTGAAAAAGTTGCAACCTGGTCCTCTGTTTCTCAAATTTTACCAGGTGGATAGTTATGCCTAATCTGACACCAGGTGGCTCTGCAAGCAGTCTCCAGTTTTCTGTTGTCTCTCTTGAGCCTGTTTGCCTTTGTTACTATGTTGCCCACCCCTCTGTTGGACCACTTTGTGACATCACAACAGTCTAATAATGCTAAGAATTTATGTGTCCCTTAAAGAAAAGAAAATGTTTGGACTTGATGTAAAATCCTTTTATTGGAGTTCATTAACCTAGGCCCCTCCCCTGTATTAATTTAATGATATCGGTACTACTTTTCTATGAAGCTTAGGTATGATGGCTGAGGATGGGTTAATTCTGTGCTAGCCAATGGCTTTTTTTTTATAGTGTCCAGTTCTCCTGTAAGCAGGGCAGTTCAACAGACTAAAAATTCCTCAATGGACTCCTAGAAAAGGATTTTATGGCAAGTACAAAAATATTTTTTTTCACATGTTTTGTCAATCTTGCAAACCAAACTGTGCTTGGGTCACTCATCACTGTTTGTGTGACCTCTGCCCTTCATTTTTTAAGTCTGCACACCTGGTGAATCTTTTATACGTTTTTTATTATAGAGAATGCATTATACTGTACAATATATAGGTGGCTGGAAAAACTGAGATGGACAGGAAGTTATGGCAAGTAGATATCAATATAAGAAGATCAAAGATACATGAGCCCAGGAGCCCACTTGGCTCTACCTATACCTAAAAGATCACTTTGAGTGAACTGATAATTTATGTACTGACTTTCGGACATAGTGATAAAAAAATCATTGATGTCAAATTTTTTAATGGGCTTAATGTTCTATATCATTAACATAATTAAATAGTATTTATTTGTTTCACTGTTTTCTTTCTTTTGTAGACCTAGAGTACAAGAAGTTTTTTGGAAAACTATTGTGCAGATGAGGAAAAAATCTGTGCAAATCCAGAGACCCTTCTGGGAGAAATTGAAGCAAAAACAAAGGAACTCATTGGTCTGTTCTGCATGTGTGCAGTATGCTCTAGCATCATAGTTAGCTGTGTTGTGTTTGTTAATAAGGATTAGGAGCAGCCATTTAAAGCTTAAACTATAAATAAAGGCAAATAAAGTTTTCGATAGTGGAGAGGGAATATAATATCTGTCAGTTTTTATTGCTGTCTGCACCTTCGTTAGGGAGATTCACCCTCTCTATTTGGTCTGTTTACCATTAGCATTGAAAGTAAAAGTAAAAGAAAATTTTACTTTAAGTGTAGCTAGAATTAGGAACAGAAAAATCAGCCCAAGGGACATAACTTGCAGTCAGTAGGATTCCTCTTCCTTCAGTTGAAATCTTCCTATATTCCTGCCCATACCCCAACACCCCACCACCATAATCTTGTGGTGCCGTATGTATTAATACAACTAAGGGGCTGTAACAGGCTCTCATCAAGAGAGCCCAGCTATCCCTTTTCACCCACCTGCTCAATTCATAGATGCTCTTCTACAGCTTATATGAATGAAACAGGATCTCTGAATGGGGGATGGGTGGATGATTGATTATCTCCCCTGTACAGAGATTCTTTTTCATTCATAGAAGCTGTAAAAATAAAAAAAAAACAATCTCTCTCTACACAGAATTGTCAGCTCTAGCTAACAATTGCAACATGCACTGATAATAAAGCTTCCTGCACCCTTTATATAAAGGGGTCTCTGTTACCCTCCTTTAAATTAGTGTTCCTTATTTCTGCCAGTGACCTGCAAAGGTTTGCGATTCACACCTACATGAAACTAATAACTGTCACTAGAATGAGCACATACTTGTCATATAGTGGTCCTTCACATAAATTCTGAGCTCTATTGTGATTACTTAATTGTAAAATATGGTCCACCTTGGAAAGCTGTGTCATTACTTGGTAAAAATAGGTACATGTGAATTTATAATTATATATATATTGTCATATGTTTTTACTTACACTGTTCTGATTTACAGCAAGAAGAACAACTCCACTTCTTGAGTATATTAAAAACCGGAAGCTGGAAAAACAGGTGAGCAAGATATTAAGCATAACTGCTAAATCAAGGATTATTTTGTTAAGACTTAACAGTAATAGTTAATTTAAATTGTGTTTTAGAGAATGAGAGAAGAAAAAAGGGAAGAAAGGAGGAGACGTGAATTGGAAAAAAAGCGCTTAAGGGAAGAAGAAAAGAGAAAAAGGAGAGAAGAAGAAAGACGTAAAAGAAAGGAGGCAGACAAGCAGAAGAAGCTGTGTGAAAAAGAAATTAGGATCAAGGTGAACATAACAAAAAAAAAAAAAACACTATTAGGCCTCATGTACACTGCAGCTTAAAAAAGGCCTGTTATAGAGGTGTTTGACATTTTTTTTTCTGCCTCTAAGCATGCCTCCATTCACACATGGGCATTTAGAGGCAGGAGCGATTAGAGGCAGAAAAAACAAAACATGACTTGAACATTCAGAAAGGAGCATTTGGACAGAAAAAAACATGCAACCATGCATAAATGCACATGAACGTGCACATTTCCGCATTATTTCATTCTAATGGATAAAATAAATTATATTCTGGTCAATAGAATGCATTAACGCCAAACGTACATTACTGTGCATAAACTCTTGTGAAACCTCAGCTTTTACCAGGTTTTTTAAGCTGCTCTAAAAAATGTGGCATTCAGAGGAGCTCAGTGCATGAAGACTTAAACTACTATAGTAACCATTCTGAAACATATACTTACTGGCCACTTTATTAGGTGCACCTTGCCAGTACCGGGTTGGACCTTCTTATGCCTTCAGAACTGCCTTAATTCTTTGTGGCATACAGTGGATATAAAAAGTCTACACACTCCTATTAAAATGTCAGGTTTCTGTGATGTAAAAAAAATGAGACAAAGATAAATCATTTCAGAACTTTTTCTACCTTTAATGTCACCTATAAACTGTACAACTCAATTGAAAAACAAACTGAGATCTTTTAGGGAGGGGGAAGTAAACAAAAAAACTAAAATAATGTGGTTGCATAAGTGTGCACACCCTCTTATAACTGGGGATGTAGCTGTGTTCAGAATTAAGCAATCACATTCAAAATTATGTTAAATAGGAGTCAGTACACACCTGCCATCGTTTAAAGTGCCCCTGATTAACCCCAAATAAAGTTCAGCTGTTCTAGTAGGTCTTTCCTGACATTTTCTTAGTCTCATCCCACAGCAAAAGCCACGGTCCGCAGAGAGCTTCCAAAGCACCAGAGGGATCTCATCCCCAAAAAGACTGAATGCTGTAATAAGGTCAAAAAGTGCTTCTACAAAGTATTAGTTTAAGGGTGTGCACACTTATGCAGCCATATTATTTTAGTTTTTTATTTTTACTCCCCCCCCCCTAAAAGATTTCAGTTTATTGTTCAACTGTGTTGTGCAATTTATAGGTTACATTAAATATGGTAAAAGTTCTAAAATGATTTATCTTTGTCTAATTTTTTTACATCACAAAAACCTGACATTTTAACAGGGGTGTGTAGACTTTTCAGCCTGGGCTCACACTAATGCAGTGCAGAATTCGCAGCGTTTTCTGTGCAAATTCCGTGCTGCATCACAATCGCACCCCGTTCATGTGAACCACTGCAGGTATGTATGTTAACAACCCCCCAAAATCAGTCCACAAAACGTGGTGCGATGTGCAGAATTGCATTGCATGGGTGTGAATACCCAAGCGATCCGATTCTAGTGCGGACAGAAAAAAGGGTCCTGCACCTTTTTGGTGCAGATGCGGTGCGGTTTGAGCCATACAAAATGTGCTGTGCGGTTCCTGTGCGAATCACATGCAATATACCACACCGCATATGTGTGAAGTGAACCCAGGCTCATATCCACTGTAGATTTAACAAGGTTTTGGAAACATTCCTCAGAGATTTTGGTCCATATTGACACGAGTTACTGTTGCCTTTCTATCATCTTGAACCAGTCTGCCCATTCTCCTCTCACCTCTGACATCAACAAGGCATTTTCGTCCACAAAACCGCTGCTCACTGGATATTTTCTTTTTTTGGACCATTCTCTGTAAACCATAGAAATGGTTGTGCATGAAAATCCCAGTAGATCAGCAGTTTTTTAAATACTCAGACCAGTCTGTCGCGCACCAACTACCATGCCATGTTCAAAGTTACCTAAATCCCCTTTCTTTCCCATTCTGATGCTCGGTTTGAACTTCAGCAAGTTGTCTTTAGCACGTCTAGATGCCTAAATGCATTGAGTTGCTGCCATGTGATTGGCTGATTAGGAATTTGTGTTACCAAGCAATTGAACAGGTGTACCTAATAAAGTGGCCGGCGAGCGTAGTCAAATGATTTAAATATGGAAAACCAAGAATTGTGTTCTAGGATTGTCTGCTGACTAGAAAATGTCCTTACATCTTAACCTAAACATATGATTAAACTTTCTTAATTGTGTCTAGCACAATAGTTAATATAAAGTATATATTGAACTGACCTAGGTGATCACTGTTGATGCTTATTTTTTTTTTTATAGTAATATATTTCTGATTATAGCTTCTAAAGAAACCTGAGAAGGGTGATGATATCATCAATGACAAACAAAAAGAGAAAATAGAAGGAATGAGGTGGAAGAAACTAAATGGGAAAAGTCTCCTGGGTCCACTAAGAGTCGGGCTTTTGAAAGCTTTGCCAAGGACTTTAAAGAAAAGTAAGGACTGGTTATTTCATTATTTAAACATTTTTAACAGTTTGTTGCAAACATGTGTATTCTAACTACAGTACAAGCAGGGGCGGACTGACTATTTGGAAACTCGGGCACTGCCCGAGGGCCCGGGGTCAGTAGTGGGCCCCATGAGATGCCCCTGGTACCTTTTTCATAGGCTTTTTTGAGTTTTGGCAAGGACACAGGGGCCCCATGATCCCCTATTGCCCGGGGGCCCCATGAGTTGTCAGTCCGCCCCTGAGTACAAGCAATCCCCGGGTTATAAACATGATAGGGTCTGCAGGTTTGTTCTTAAGTTAAATTTGTATGTAATTTGGAACAAGTAAATTTTTTAAGTGTAGCTCCAGCCAAAAAATATTTTTAAGTTTTTTGGATAGCATAGGGAAAGGTTAACACCCCTGTAATGTTTGTTTTGCTGTCCATGCCCCTGTTCAGAAGATTTCACTTCACTTTCTTATTTGTATTTTGAAAATTTTGGGTTGTTGAAGAAAGTAGTATTGGTGAAAAACCTTCATTGGAGATACCTTTTTCCCATGATAACTCTTACAGGAGAGAATTTCCCTTCCTAAGTGTAGATTTTCTCCTTACGTTACAGGAGGGAATTTCCCTTCCTAAGTGTAGATTTTCTCCTTACGTTACAGGAGGGAATTTCCCTTCCTAAGTGTAGATTTTCTCCCTCTGTTTTGTTTCTCCCTCCAGTCCTTCATAACTTCCTCCAGTTCCTAACTTGAGGACTGCCTGTACTTGACTTTGGTTTCTTGAAATTTGGCATTTTATTGGTTATAGGATAAATGGCCCACAGGAAATTGTATGTAAGTTTAGCACTGGTGCCTTTACTGTGTGTCATGGCATTTATCACACAAGTCCTAAGCCTACTCTATCCCTAATAGTTATTTTCGTGTGCTACAAATCTTTTACCAAGTTTTTAAGCTGCTTTAAAAAATGTGGCACTTAAAGGAGCACAGTGCACAGAAGTCTTAAACTACTATAGTACCAATTCTGAAACATACACTCACTTTATTAGGTACACCTTGCTAGTACAGGGTTGGACCCCTTATGCCTTCAGAGCTGCCTTAATTCTTTGTGATTAAAATTACTTAACACCCCTGAACATTATATATTTTTAAGCAGAGGCCCTGCAGAATAAAACGGTGGGTGTTGTTTTTTTTTATGCCACACGATGTTTGCACAGAGGTTTGCTTTAATTAATGAAATTCTTGTTGCTTGTGGTTTCTGGCAGCACAGAAGGGGGAAGCAACTTCTGTTCTTTTGCAGTTTTCACAGTGCACCGGATGCCACTGGTCACATTGATCATGGGCTCCCTAGTGGGACAGGAGAACCTGAGAAAGGTGATGGTGGGAGGGGG